GAGGCTCAGAGAGGTGATGTAAGGCCTAGGAAGGGCTTTAGCTCAACTTGTCATGGTCTCTGCTCTCCCCGCCCCCCCATAGGACCCCTGGGCTCTCCCCCAACTCCTTTCAGTTGCAAAGGGGAGGTAGAGGAAAATGCTGGGCTTCGGTTGGTTTCCAAGCAGCTCAGGGATCTTGGCTCAGAGAGGAGCATTCAGGAGGTGGCCTGATGCGGGGCGGGGCCCTGGGCGACCCCCTCCGCAGTGTCTGCCTTCTCCCCACAGGCCCATGGCCGAGAGCTCCCTCTACCGGCAGCGGCTAGAGGTCATCGCTGTAAGTGAAGCCCTCCCAGGGCGCTCCGCCCGGCGTGCTGGGCACTCCTAGTCTTGCCCCAGGTCTCTTCCTCACCTCTCTCTCAATCCGGGAAGCAGGCCTAACGCTGTGAAGTGTGTGGTGGGGGGAGGAGGGGGAAGGCACCCTCAGCTCCAGCCCTGCCTGGGGCGCCCCACCTAAATCCTCAGGCCCCTCTGCTCCCCAGTTCCTCTATGCGGTCACCACCACCCTCAGAATGGTGAGGCTGTGTACTCCACACTCCGATGCTCCATTCTTGAACCCCTGTCTCCCAAACACCCCATGTCTGAACCCCATTTCTCAGACCCCCATCTCTGGATCCTCATCTCTCTGGGTCCCATCCCTGTGAACCCCATCTCATTAATCCCTAGTCTCTGATCTCCCGCTACTGCACCCCCATCTTCCTGGACCCCATCTCTACACCCCGGTCTCTCTGAACCTCCATCCTTCCGACCCCTATATCTGAACCCCATCCCTCTGAACCCCCATCTCACTAACTCCTATCTCTCAGCCCTCGATTTCTGCACCTCCATCTCTCCGGACCCCATCTCTACGCCCCAGTCTCTCTGGACGCTCACGACGGCACCTCCTCCCTCTGATATCCATAACTGGACCTCCAGTTCTCTGAACCCCCCTCTCTGTAACCCTATATCTCGGACCCCCACAGCTCCGTCTCCCCCTTGGGGATCCCCATTCCAAGGCCCCGCCCCCACCCCCTTCCACAGACCCCCATTCGGCGCGGGCGAGGCCTCCGCAGCATCCCGGGCGCGGCCGGCCCCGCCCCCGCCGCCGCCGCCGCCGGATTGATACATCCCCATTGACGTCGCTTTGACGCCAGAGCGACGCGCGGCCAAGCGCCAAGCGAAGGGAGAGCGGGAGATCGGGCCGTTGCCAAGAGACTGGCGGCTCTGACGCGCGCGCTGATGGGGCCGTCGCCCTGGCGACCGCGGAGCGGTGACGTCAGGGGCGCCGGCCGCCGGAGGCCCGCGGAGGCCTGCCCTCCCGCCCGCGCCCGTGCTCCCGCCGGCGCGCGCCCCCTACCGAGCGCCGCGGGCTCTGCAAGCGTCTTGACCTCCAGTGGCTCAGCCTTCCGCCTGCACGCGCGCGCACAGCAGCCTTCGCGCGGCGCCCCCTCTTTCGCGCTCCCCCAAAAGCTTGGTTCTAGGGCGGTTACCAAACCCCACGAAGTGCAGCACAGCGGTGGCTGAGTCCTCTTTGGACCCCTAGTTCAGGGTCCCCGTTTTCGGGGAACGGGGCCCATGTGTCTCCCAATTTCCAACGGAAGTGCTCGGCCTTGGCGCCTCTATTAGGAGAAGTAGCAGGTGGGGCATCGGGAAAGCTCGCAGACTCACAGAATGAGGCCACCCGGGTGCCAGGTGACAGCACGCCGGCTCCCACTCCCTGAATTGGGCCGCCCCATCCCAGAGAAGCGCCGCCAGCACCCGGGGACCCTCTGGCGCTCGGCAGCTGCGGATCTGCAGAGTCTGCGGGCAACCCACCTCCGACTACTTTTGTTCTGCACGAATCTCTATCGTTTAGCTAGTGAGAAACTTAAACGCAGGGAACCGGAGCAGCATCTTCTGACCACCTACCTACCGACCCGCACAGGTAGCCGGCGGGTGGGATGGATCGGTTCTCCTCCTGGCAGTGCCCACCCGCGGCGCGGCGGGGGCCTGGTTCAGCTCGCCCTGCCCTTTTTCCATCAGATCTGCGGGTCAGCAGCCCGTGAGGACCAGAGGGGTGCTGGGACCTTTGTCAGGGAATCCACGGACTTTGATGACGGCACCCAGCAGGGTGCAGAGCCAGAAGGCCGATTTCTGGGAAGGCCAGAGGTGTAGGTGGAAGTGGGTCTTCAGGTTCTTGGGACCTGCTATGGGAAACCGAGTTAGCAACACCCTCAGTGAGGCGGTGGTGGTTCTTTTGTTTGCGGGGTCCTCAGACAGGTGCCCTGGTGCTGTGTGTCCAGACAAGGGAAGGACTCTGCTCCTTGGGGGAGCATCCCCCCTGCAGAGGGCCAACAGGTGCGGTCCACATCAGGCCAGGACTTCCTCCTTGCCAGCACTGGACATTTGCAGGTCCTGTGGGGTGGGTTACTTCTGTCTGCTGCCTGTCTCCCCAGAGCTGCTGGGGAGCAGTCCTGTGCCCCTCCAGGCTGGTGCCCCGCAGCCTTGTCCCTGTTAAAGGGGAGGCTGGACAGGATGAAAATGGCACTGGGCGCCAACCCCCGTGGGTACTGCTGCTCACTCCGTGTTCCTTTATGAAAATAAACGTTCTCTATGAAAATAAAACGTTCTCTAAGGAAGATAGAGGCTATGGGTGAATGGTATTTTTGGAACATTAGGCATTAGGAAGGCAGTGGTGTGGGATTTAAATTCTATATCTAACCTCAAATCATTTGCCCTTGTGTTACACGAAAATACTACTTCATAGGAGGGGCTGGGGAGCAAGAATTAAGTGAGATGGATGCAGAACTTAGAAGCCTTCTTCCGGAGGCTTCCATGTGTGGGCAGTCGCCTGGAGACGTGGCTGGCCTGGCAAGGGTACCACGTCGGACTCAGATGTGCTTCTCCTGATGCGCGGTCAGCAGCCTGACCAAACATTTCCCAATCACCCCTCCCTGGGCGCTTGGTCATGGTCAGTTCTGAAAGGCCTCTCAAGGATACCAATAACCCCGGAGTTTTCCTTCGTCTTTCAGAAGTGTGCTTACTATCTGTCCCGGCTTTATCCACTGAGAATTTGGAGGAGGATTTTTACTCTCTTCCAGCTGAATCATTTACAACTGCTTTTCTTCCCTTCTGGGCCGTCCCACTAATCTGCTCCTAGGAGAGCAAGACTCAGAGAGAAGAAACCAGGCACCTGAGTGCACTCACCTGCTGCCCCTCATCCTGTGACCTCAGAACTTTCCGCAGCTCATCCAGGGGACATTCAGCAAACTGGGCTCCTCCACCCCCTCCCACCCCAGGTTTAGCCAGGTCTTTTGAAAGGCCATAGGTGTTTGCAAACACCTGGCTGGCTGTTTGGAAACATTTTGTCATCGCTGAATAAAAACTGCAGCCGGCGCAGCCGAAGCTGCCTTCCTAGCGAATGTCCCTGCACCTGGGCACCCTCGACTCCCCACTCGCAGCCCGTCCTGAGCAGCCCTGCGTGGGGGCTGAGGCCACCTCCCAGCCCTTGGGTGGAGAGCGCGCTCTGCAGAGAATGCAGGCAGAGCCAGAGGAAAAGTCTGACCTCAGAATGGCCGTCATCTCTCCCAGTGGGGTTCCTCCTGGCACCCCCATGAATTTGCATTGATGGGCCTCTGCTCCCAAGTGTCTTTGATTATTGTTTGCATCCTTGGCACAGGGAGGCCAGAATTGCTTCCAGAATCCTTGATTTCTTTTCAGATTTCTAGTCTTGC